CATTGACAACAGATGTAGAGAAGTTTTTCTTTTTTCTTTTTTTTCCCACTTTGAACTGAACCTTTTGCAGAATCTAAAAACAGTGCAGTGTGGATTCTAGGGCAGCTGTTTTGCCCAGGAAGGCCAAAATAGACTTCATGAGAGACCTAATGTTGTGCCTGTGGTTAAATCATCTTGGGGTTTGTGTGTTTGCCTTACAGTCACAGATGGATAAGAAGCTGTCAGCATTTGGAACAGCTGACCCATCCCCACCTATAAAGCCACCTTCGTGTCTCATGAAATTGGCTCACATAAGTCCAGCTACCCAAAACTAATCCCACTGCGTTTCCAACAAAGGAAGTTATCCTGAAGTTTCCATAATCAGACCTGGAAACTGGGTTACGCTGCTAATTTTTTCTCGAGATGCATCCCAATGTTCTTTTAGGTCTAACTTGGGCTTTTCTTTCTTTTTTGGAGGACTAGTTATAAAAAAAAAAGGGAACGGCCTATTTTCGACACATGAATAGACAACTAAACTGCCTTTTTCAAAACAAAATCCCTGACACATCGCGGATAACAAAACTTTTAGAGGAAGCTTCAGTTAAACCCCATTTTGAGGGAGTGTGCTCTGGAGCTCAAGAGTGTTTAAGTTACATTCTACATTCGCTTGTTTTGTTCTCATCCTGGAAAAGCTTGTAAACTGGTCTCTGATGAGTCAAGAGGTCTTGCGGAGTAATAGGATTTTATTATGTATTTTAAGAAAGGGAGTTTGAGGTAATTTGAGAACTTCTGCTAAAGTAATAATTTCCTTAGTTAAATGGTTAATTAAAAAAATAATCAAAAAGTAGGGATGAAAGTTATCGATTAATGAGATAATCTAAACTTTAACACAGACTCATTATTTGAGAGGTGAATGTTTTCTAAAAAAATTGACTTTTCTCTCATATCAAGAGGGTCTTTCCTTAATGTGAAAGGATGATTTTATTCCCAATATACTAAAAATAAACAAACACATGGTTATTTTTTAACCTTTTTATAGTACAAGCTCTATTAAATACAAACTAATATACTTGTTTATACCAATAAACAAGCAGCAATAAGCCCTTTTCTAATGCATTTTGCAATTAAGATATAATATAGCAAAACAGAAACTGGTTAAGCCACGAAAAAATAATATATTTCAATTATTGAATTGTAGACTTAAATATACCAAAATTTGTGAATAAATTTACAGTTTGGTCTCTCTTATTACATAATTTTAAATAGTATATCTGATATTATAAGTTACTAAGTACTTGAGTAACTGTTTTTCCAAATACTCTTTGACTCCTTGAGTAATTTCTTGGATGGCTACTTCTCACTCCTCCTGAATTAAAGTTGGAATGTAAATGTAATATTTGAGTTAAAACCTGTTGAGTTAAACCCTCATTGATTGATTTGGCTTGCTAATGTTGATCTATCCCTAATATGCTAATAATGTTATCTCCCCCCAATATTAATATTATGGATAGTGTGTAAGGGATTCTATTTGAAGGAGTTACTATGGTGGTTCTGAAATAAGTAAGAAATTAAATAGTAATTCATAATCTGATCTGGAGGAAGCAGAGAATTAAAGTGGCCCAAGCATAAATCCCAGATTAACGCCCCTGAAATTATACATTTCCTGATATGCAAAATTACCCCAGTCGATGTAAAGAAAATTGGCTGATGAGGGTCTGCTATGATGACTTGTGCATATCTAATTTGTTAGGATGTGTTGAAATACATTTTTAAGCTTGTCAGTAGAGTTCCACTACTTTAGAGTCACATGTTAGTTGTCACAGTTGTACACCTATATGATAAACAAGAGGAAATCATTCTTGGTACTGGATTTACTGCATACCCATATCCCCTGTAACTCTATGCTTGACATATTCTTTTTTTTTTTTTGGTGGCGACAGGGAGCTTGACGCTGGAAACTTAAACCCTCCTCCTGTTAAAAGTTTAGCAGCTGACATGTATGGCGAGTGGGGGAAATAGTGCTAACATTAGCCCCAAGCAGCTCCAGTTCAAGGAGGGATATTGAAGTGGGCTGGCACTGATCCAGTGCATCCAAACCAACACTTCCATCACACGTTTGTTTGGGTGGGACGTATAATATAGTTTACTCTGCCGCTGGAGGCTGGCGGCTACCAGAGCCAGCCTGAGAGGCCAGGAGACATCATTAATATTGATAGCATGTCTTCTTGTTATGCTATAACCTCTGTTTACAAGGTCTTGTTGCCAGGCCGGAAATGTAGACCACTGACACTTTCTAATGAGGTTACCCAAATAAAGGGGTGTAGAGTTCTTTCAGAACAGGGATCCTGCTCTGCTTAAGCTTAATGGACCGTGACTTGCTTATATTGTTACTTCTAGCTGTCCAAAGGTGAAACAAAGGCAAAGATTTTCACTTACTTAATCGAAAAAACACATGAAACAGAATTAAATTACTGTGAACCATATAATAAAACAAGACTCGTCTATTTGTTTTAAGGTTTGATATTATAAATGTTATGGAAGTTAAAAATGTTGAAGTAGAGATGAATTTAGAGACAATGAAAGTGCTAAAACTCCAAGCTTTTCATGGGGATTTACTTTATCTTTCTTTAAAAAAAAAAAAAAAAAAAAAAAAAAACTATGTATCCCAGACAATTGCTTTGATTAATATTTTTTTATGAATCATTTGTGATTTGTGCTTAAACCCATAACAGCTGTTAGAGGGCAAATGATGCTGGTATCTATTATTTATAGATGTTATAGGATTGCACTAATGTGGGATTGTTGCACCCTTAATTGGAAGTATCCTTACTAGTGTGTAGTTTGTTTGCTCTTTATGCTGTCTCTCTGTACTTGATGAGTTAACATTACTTAATCTTTCTTCTTATATCATTATCTTGGGATACGGAAGATGACGCTACCATATTTATCTAGAGAAAGCATTGGATACAGAGTTCATCACTCCAGGCTAGGTATGGCCTGGTTTATTGTTTACCCTGCAAAGGCTGATATCCTATTAACTATGTAAACCAGCAGGCATTGTGGGGCACCTTGCAGATACTCGCTGCGCCTGTAATCCAAGGGATTAAGAAGCCTGCACTCTTGCGCCAGATAACTTCTCTGAGCCTTCTTTGGAATTGCACCTGAGTTTGCTAATCTTTTAAATTGAATTTAAAACCATCCTGCTATTTTTTTTGTCAATTGTTTGGCAAAAGAAAATACTGATTTTGCAACCAATGCCTCATCTGGATTTCTTAATTTTGTTGTTAGTTTTAAAATACCTAGTTTTGCTCTAAGATGGCCGTTATTTGCAGTCGAACTTGTTGATATTGCCCAAATCCCAATGATGGATCTATTATATCTGTTGTACAGCTACAAGAGATCTGCTGAGTGAATGAAAAATAGCTTTTGTTGATGAAATGTAACCTGAAGCGTTGCATTTATTTGTTATTTGATCCTCATGTTGTCTAAATATATGATGACACTGATGTGGCACATCAGACCAGCACTTATTGGATTATTTGGACAATTAATCACAGGCAGACCTAGACAACCATCTGGGTAAAGTGTGTCTCTAAAATGCTTATCCTTAAGGAACTTTAAAAGATGATAATCGAGGTGCAAAGTTAAGCTTATGAAGTGTTAAAGTGAAAAGAAAAAAACCCTGCCCCATTCCTTCAGTAGGTTTCCATCAGCTCTGATCCTGCACTCAGTCAGTGGTCCCACAGATAAGGGTGGGCTGATCTTATTTCTTGCTTGCCGTTTGTGAACGGAAGTGAGGTTTAGAGATCAGGAGGGTTTCTGGGGGAGATGTGTAATAGAAGCTGCTGCACATGTGGGGCAGCAACACAGCTGTTTAGCCCACAGTGGGATGATGTTATCTAGTTGGGGGTAGTTTTTTCCTTTTTCTTTTTTTTTTTAAACTTTTATCCAAACATGGAAACCTCAGCATGGTGCTAAAAGATAATGGTCTGCTTTTTACTGACTCAAAAAGTTTTGCAAGCGCATGCTTATTTATGTATTATTTATGAAAGATTTGGGGTTTGCTATTATTAATAAAACCTTTTTGTTCTTTTTAATTCTACCTCACCCATATAAATACAGTACATATGTTTGTAAATTAGGCCACAAACTGTTGTTGGAAAATTCAAATTAAATTTCAGTTTAAAAAAAGGAATGACGTGGAATGTTCTTTGGTTTAGACAGTGCAAAGTATTTGACATCTATTCAAGTAAAGAGGCCTCAGGGATATGGACAAGCCTGACAGAATAGGAGGATTGTGACTCCCACTATGAATAACTAAGACTACACAGTGTGTTCCAACAATGGTGTCTAGCAGGAATGTCTCTTTGCTGCTGTGTTCTGCTACATCAGACGCTGCTTGGGAGTTTTTTTAGCAATATGTTGGGAGAATTTGGTAATAGTTAAAAAAACAAGCAGCTTTACACCACAGCATTGTTTTCCACTGTAATAATGTACTAATATATTAATGTAGAGTTCAGAGAATTTACTTGTTTCACAAACAGAGGGAAACTGAAATCATTTTTTGTGCCGTTAATTTACGATTTAAAAGGCAAGAACATTTAGGGGTTAACGGTGTGATGAAATACAAGAAGTTTTAACCTTGTGTTAAGTTAAAAAACAAAAACAAAACAAAAAACAGGAACACGATTCTTGCATAGTAAATGGAAATAGATGACTGTTTTTAAGATTCTCTTGTGAAATGAGGAGTATCCATCAACATCAGACTTTAGTCTCAGTTTAGTGATTTTCACAAAGGTGAGCAATAAATAATCTCTTCATTTACACATTGTTATGATCCATTTATAGCATTTCAGACAATTAACATTTTTAATATCTTTGTAAATGACCTTAGGATGTAATTGCTTTTGATTGTTTTTATGTGCATTGCGTCATTGAAGTAGATGAAATGAAGCCCATCCTTCCTCTCTCGAACATGATGTTAACCCTATCTTCTGTTGCTCTGCCTTTTCCTCCCACAGGAGATGACCTAGAGGCCTTACAGATACATTTGTGCTCTTGTCGCTTTAATCTGCATCCGCAGAAAACGGTGAGATCTAGGAGCACACTTGTTTCCTCCGCGGGTAATATCTACCTCAGCCAGCAGACGGGGAACAAACCAGCACGCAGCTCTGAGACTTCAGACCGGCAGACAGAGCCAACAGCTGGCCGTGCGCTCACTGCCTGCAGCTCTCCTGTTCTGTGAAGAGGATTTAAGACGGACTGGATCTGTCTGCCTTTTTGCTCCCACTAAAAAACAAACGGTCAAATCTTGTTACTCCAGAATTTATTTGATTTTTAAAAAAAATAGTGGTTTCTTCTTTTTTTTCCCTTTGTGCTGTTGACCAGTGTGTCTTTTTCCATGGATGCATTTTTTGCGTTTTGCTTTTAAACAAGTTTTCTACTTTTACTAGTGTAAGCTGGTTTAAAATTATACATGTAAATACATATGTGAATGTTGTATACTGTATTAGGAGTATTTTTCTCATTCTGAAGGAAAGTTAATGCACTTTAAACCTTTGCTGTGATACTTTTCCTTCTCTGTTATGGTTGTTTTTTTGAACCTGGAAATAGAGAGGCTGGGGCGTGTCTCGTTCTCTAAGCTAGCCATGAAATATCTGCAGCCGGGCTGCATGTAAACATTTAACTCAGCCTGTCAGCGTTTTTTTTTTTCTTTCTTGCCACTTTACAAGGCGACACTGGGATGAACCTCTGGCAGGTGGAATCCTTGAGCTGTCTCTCGACTTAACTTGACCAGTTTAAGGACTTTTGGACTAAGTGTTTTTGTAAGACTGGCCCAGACCGCTTCGTGTGGAAAGCAAACTAGGGCAGACAGGAGCTTCCGGTGCTGTTGCACCACCTATGTATTGTTGTAGTGCACAGGAAAGTAAAATGGACTACAAGCGTCGCTTTTTGCTTGGCGGGTCCAAGCAGAAAGTGCAGCAGCACCAGCAGTACCAGATGCCTGAGCTAAGCCGGACCCTGAGCGCCTCTCTGACTTCTTCGCCAATGGGCACTGGGGTGGGCATTCCTGGCAGCTGCCACCCACCTTCCTCTGGCACCACAACCGCCGTTGCCGACATCCAGCAAGGCATCTCCAAATACCTGGATGCTCTCAATGTGTTCTGCAGGGCCAGCGCCTTCCTTACAGACCTGTTCAGCAGCGTGTTCAGGAACTCTCATTATTCCAAAGCAGCTATGCAACTGAAGGACGTGCAGGAACACGTCATGGAGGCAGCCAGCAGGCTGACTGCAGCAATAAAGCCAGAGATCGCCAAGATGCTGATGGAGCTGAGCGTCGGGGCCGCTAATTTTAAAGACCAGAACGACTTCAGCCTGCAGGACGTAGAGGTATGTGCTCACACATCATCAAGGCCTCTGCATATAATTTTTGTTAATTCATGACCAAAGCATATTCAAATGTAGTAGAAACTTTAATTCATTCATTTAAACAGAGCAGTGCAAATTCATGACTAGTTTAATCCTTTAAACGTGTCAGATTTGTCTAGTTTGCTAATTCTTATGTCGAGTTTCAGACATGTTAATTGGTGTAATGAGAGGATGAACTGAAATACACAGCTAAAACGTTCAGATCAAGTGCTAGATGAGCCATAATGAAAGAGTATGTTCTCTTTTTAAATGATAAAGTGTTTATCAATGATCAATTTAAGAAGGAATATATGAGAATCACCCTTACAGCATGCCTTATTTTGACTTTAAAGGTGAGAGAAATTAAGGTGAGATATCAGAATCTAGTCAAAATATTTTGCTCTTTCAATCTCAAGGAGATATTTGTTTGTTTTTTTCTGAAAAACATTTATAGATGTTTGTAAAGCAGCACATTGTCTGTGTGTCTGGCCTTGCTCTGTAACCCAATGGTACATAATGAGTTAGATGGACCATAGCTGCCCTTTTTTCTCACACCTGAAGTTTATTTTGTGTAGCTGATATATATAAGCTTCTTAAGACGTTAGGGACATTATGTGACTTTAAAGCTGGATGTGTCTCAGAAAATATGGCTATAATTATTATAGATATTTTTATCTATATTATAGAAATGTCTTTTCTTCCTTACACACTACGACCAAATATGATCAGTAAAAAGCCAGTCCTGTACCCGATTCAGAGTTCCTGTAAAATTCAAATATATGTCTTAAACATTTTGTAAAGTAAAAAAAAAAAAAAAAAAAAATGCTTTTTATACATAAAGACATCTGCAGACATCTGGCCAAGCACTGATATAGAACTTTAAGAAGTTTATTAATTAAAACTTGTGGGAGGCCTACAGGATAATTAGTGAAGGAACACATGATTTCTTCTGCACAAAATCTTTTATTTTTTATTTTTTTGTAGAGTAGCCTTTTTTAAAGTAATTTAAGAGTATAAAATGATTGTCTCTATCACTTCTTGTTTTTTATCCCACCAACAAATAATTGTCCTAATTGGGGACTCTGTTGGAAAGAGTGCAGCATAGCATCACATACATGTTATATCTTACTCATGTTTTATCTTTGGGATGCTATGCTAAGAGACTTAGGCTGTCATAAGGCGGACTCTATGAATCAGTGTTTCCTGGTTTAAATAGGGCTCTTACGCCCAGTGTCAGCATCTCTGAGGGTGAGGCGTGAAAAACAAGAGGGATGTGAGAATAGCCGCCACATTTTGCTACCATAAAGACTGCACCGTATCTGCAGGCTTGCATTTGATGATATGGAGGCGGATATTGTATGCTGAGGTTACTTCTTTGGAGAATAAACAATATATTAACTAAATGAGTTTAAAACAACAAAGTTTAAATGGGATATAGGTATGACTGAAACATCTAATCTGACTAATCGTGAATAATTGATTATTGAAATAATTGTCAACTAATTTAGTAATCTATTATTTGTTAACTGGAGTAATTCAATTCAATTCAGTTTACAGGTGCTGGTCATAAAATTAGAATATCATGAAAAAGTAGATTGATTTCAGTAATTCCATTTAAAAAGTGAAACTTGTATATTATATTCATACATTACATACAAACTCATATATTTCAGATGTTTATTTTGTTTAATTTTGATGATTACAAATGACAACAAATGAAAATCTCAAATTCATCATATCAGAAAATTAGAATATTGTGAAAAGGTTCAAAATTGATGGCCCCTGGTGCCACACTCTAATCAGCTAATTAACTCAAACCACCTGCAAAAGCCTTTAAATGGTCTTTCAGTCTAGTTCTATAGGCTACACAATCATGGGGAAGACTGCTGACTTGACAGTTGTCCAAAAGACGACCATCGACACCTTGCACAAGGAGGGCAAGACACAAAAGGTCATCGCTAAAGAGGCTGGCTGTTCACAGAGCTCAGTGTCCAAGCACATTAATAGAGAGGCGAAGGGAAGGAAAAGATGTGGTCGAAAAAAGTGTACAAGCAAGAGAGATAACCGCACCCTGGAGAGGATTGTGAAACAAAACCCCTTCAAAAATGTGGGGGAGATTCACAAAGAGTGGACTGCAGCTGGAGTGAGTGCTTCAAGAACCACCACACTCAGACGTATGAAAGACATGGGTTTCTGCTGTCGCATTCCTTGTGTCAAGCCACTCTTGAACCACAGACAGCGTCAGAAGCGTCTTGCCTGGGCTAAAGAGAAACAGGACTGGACTGCTGGTGAGTGGTCCAAAGTCATGTTCTCTGATGAAAGTAAATTTTGCATTTCCTTTGGAAATCAAGGTCCCAGAGTCTGGAGGAAAAGAAGAGAGGCACTTCATCCACGTTGCTTGAAGTCCAGTGTAAAGTTTCCACAGTCAGTGATGGTTTGGGGTGCCATGTCATCTGCTGGTGTTGGTCCATTGTGTTTTCTGAGGTCCAGGGTCAACGCAGCCACATACCAGGAAGTTTTAGAGCACTTCATGCTTCCTGCAGCTGACCAACTTTTTGGAGATGCAGATTTCATTTTCCAACAGGACTTGGCACCTGCACACAGTGCCAAAGCTACCAGTACCTGGTTGAAGGACCATGGTATCCCTGTTCTTAATTGGCCAGCAAACTCTCCTGACCTTAACCCCATAGAAAATCTATGGGGTATTGTGAAGAAGAAGATGCAATACACCAGACCCAACAATTCAGAAGAGCTAAAAGCCACTATTAGAGCAACCTGGGCTATCATAACACCTGAGCAGTGCCACAGACTGATCGACTCCATGCCACGCCGCATTGCTGCAGTAATACAGGCCAATACAGATTAAGCTTTTGTGATGGATAAAGACACTTCAGATTAAGTAGATACGGCTAAGACTGAAAGTTACAGTGATTTTATTTTAAACTTGGAGAGCATTAAAACGTAATCTTGATTTCAGAGATTAAATGAGACGGAATATCTTTACTTTCTGTTCAGTGTTAAACAAGTACCATAGTATATTTAAATAGATACAATAATCTTGCTACTCCATAGAAGAAAATGCATATACTGTAGAGCAATTCCAAAATTAAAAATATTAAAAATGTCATTCATAATATTTTATGTAGTGGGAGACATTATTTAGAATAATTACACACAGGCTGTTTTTCAAGCCTTGGTTTCTCTTAATTATGATTTTTTTCCCCCCTTATAGTTTATAAAAGGATAAGTAAAGGTTACTTTTAAAAGGTACATTTAATATGCAAAACATCCATGTTTGCTGTGCATATTTCAGCTAACGATTGCTTGTGATGGTTATTTGTGCAATACATCTGTTATGTAAATGAAGATAGCTATTATTATATGTCAATACATAAAAATAAGACATACATTTTTTGTCTGCTGCAATGTAGGGATGGGCGATATGTCTTAAAAATATAATCTCAGAGCTTTTTATTATATTTTATGATTTTTTTTAGATTTATATATTTATGTTTCCTCCCTAGGTTTCATACTAATGATGACAAATGACAATATCTAGCCTTTATTATCTTCATCAACAGAACATGTTTCAGTCATTGATTGCATCATAAAATAATCTAAGCTGTCCAAGTTGCTCAGAAAATGGCCTCCCAACATTTCATTGGTAAATTTGCACAGCAGCCAATCCTGTTGTCTGTCAAATCTCCCACCTTTGAATGGATAAAGCTGAAAAAATAAAATAAATTTAAACATGGTGCAACACCAGGCTGTGAAATAGCTGCTGAATGATCCTCTGATTTTTAACATAATAATTATTATTGAAATACATTTTAACATCAGATCTAAAAATTTTCTATTAGATGTGTTTTTTAAATTGTATTTTAATCATCACATTTAAAGATATTTATCAAGGGACTGGTGTTGGATTGCCTTGGATTTTGGCCCTCTGTGCGACAGCAAAGGCTGTAGTAAAACATCTTAATCCAGTCTGCATTGCTACAAAATAAGAGCAGCCGTTGGTTTGTATGGTTAAAATATCACAATATAAAACAAAATTATGAGGGATGTGTTTTAATTTTCCCTTTCATGATGAAGTATCTTAAAACCAAACTATCAATTTGCAGCCATGGGATGCACAGCAGCAGCCAGGACTGTTGAAGGATTGCAGAATCTGTGTGGATGTGGCTGAGCCCAAACAGGAAACACTTCTGCACCGCAGTCAGTTAATCTGACTCTTTGTGGTTGTGGATATGCACAGATAAATATTAGAGGAAAGCCAAGTCTGTGAAAGTTTAGACCGCATAGCTTGGAACTTGCACTTGGTGTCTGGACCCTGGCATTTATAGCACATTTGTTTCAGTAGAAATGGATGGCTCGGTTATTAGCTGGAATAACTTTTATAAAAACCACTCTGTATATACAATAATATTATGTCAGTAAGTTAAGACTTTCTCAAAAAAATTTAAACAAGAACAGTGGATGGAAACAGTCATGGTATTTTGCTTTTTACCCAAAGAGAGAAAGTTGTCCCAGTGAAATGGACTTCATTAGGGAACCGCATGGCTGGGTGGTGACTCATCTGCAGCCAATGGTTTGCATTCACTTTTTTCCTTCTCAGTGTTTATTTTTTATAAAAACAAAGACATGTTGAATAAATTTTAGATTCAGGCTTTAATATCAGATATAAAAGATGCATGAATGTTTGAGTTCCTCATTCATGGAACGTGTCCGTTAGCTGGTCAGACTGTGAGGTCCTCAAAATGAACCAAATAGATTTTTGAGTGTGGGGAGTTGTGGTATGTGAAGCTTTTCTCTTTCTTTCCTTCTTTTGCTCAAGTCTCCCTTTTCTCTTTTTTTCTTTTCTATTGAAGGAATGTGCCTCTCTGGCAGCTCAGAGGGACAATGCTGCCAAATATGCATGAAAATGTCCTTCTCTGTAGGGTCTGTTTGAGAAACATTTAAGTTTGCAGCTCTGAAATATGTGGGGAGGCATTATGGCCGTCTGAAAAACACACGCTCATCCCCGTGGTCAACCTAATTGGCCTGCAGCTTCCAACATCCTTTTTCATAAATTGTTAGGCTTACCTTTATTAGATATTTTTAGGTTTGATCTGTTTTTAGAGAAGCGGAGAATTATTTTTGATTGTAATTTCCTTTGACCTATTTTGCTGATACTTTAATATTTTGAGGAACATGTACATAAATAATATGCTGTGTGCAATTTTTTTTTATAAAACATTACCACTAAAATAGGAACTGAAATAAAAGTAAAAGAGTTGCTTCACAGGCTGGTGTTGCAGCATTTCTTAGCTAATTCCAAAGTTTAAATGAGAAAAGTTACGATTTAACTGGAATCTAGTGTAAATTTTTGGTCCTGTTACTTTTGAACAAGTAAGATTAGAATTTTGGGAAAAGTTGTATAAATAAATTTGGTGGTGTCCCGATCCCATATCAGATATCACATATCAGTCCAAAATAAGCCAAAGAAATAATATTGGCTAATATTAGCACAATGATAAAATTTAAAACGCATTGATTAATACTAAATGTGTCAGTTGTTCTCATACCTACTGTTGTTGACTATTGTCCTCTGTTTTAGTCATATTACTTGATCAAGGCTTTTCTTACATTATACATTGCTAAATAAGTTATGAAAGCATGTATGATTTGTGCTAATGTCGTATTGGGTCAGTGTCGGTCAATTCTCGAAGCTGCAATATCTTTATTGTATCGGAAATGAAAACTTTAAAGCAGGACGCCCCCATAAATAATAGGAAATTTGTTTTTGACGCTGTTTTCCATAGTGCTCTTCCATCTAGATATAAATGTTTGGAAAAATAACCTTAGTCTTTTATTGCTCTTTAAGTTGATGAGAAGCTGTTGTGGTCAGGATAGAAGTATTGTCAAAACCCTGGCAGAGGAAACGTGAACATATAGGAGCTCCTGGGATATTTTTTGGGGGGGCAGATTAACACTTGCATTAATGATGTCTTGATAAAAATGTATTTCTTAACAACGTGAAGTGTAAAGAGGGATATCCCCATATAGCTTTACTCAAAATATTTCCAAGTTTTCTGAAGATAAAACCTAAGAGATGGACCAGGAGTTTCCATTACCTGGAGTATAGTCTTTGCTGGTTGCATTTATTTATTTTTACATGGAAATCTTATGTAAATCATGAGATTTAAATTTTATTTTTAAAAAGCATAAAAGGGATTACAAATAGTTTTTTACAGTTCTCAAAATGTGATAAAGAAGGAGTATACTTAAACAACAGGGGCCCTAAAACAGATCCAACACCATAATGAAATTGCATTTATTAAGAACCGGCCTCATTTCTCAGCCCATCAATCCTGATTGGTTAGTTGACTATCAAAGGCTGGAGACAGGCCCGGGATGCACAGGACAGAACAGTAAACTGCATCATGCTGCAATATCTGGAAATAGCTTTTTTTAATTGATGAGAGATGTTTTGGTTGAACAACCTTTAAGACTTTAGTGAAATTTGGAGTGGCAGTTAACTTGGTTAAATGTCAATTCAAAGATGGGTCTGGAGCTGCTAACATGAAATAAGATCAGAGGGTCTCCAACCCCACCATGCAGCCATCTTGTTATCATAAAAACATCCTTTTAGCGATCTGGACCTCATTATCATCTCAAGCTAAGACTCTGTGTTCTGATAGTGCAGGTGTTCTCAGAAAATGGACGTCTTGAGGTGATGGATTCCTGATTGGCCTTGTTTGGTAGCAGAAGGGGCCAACAGCGGCTTGGCTGCTGCTCTCCTTATTTCTCATATTTTCCATGTCTGTGTAAAATACTGCGCAGCCAATAACATGTGTTAGCCATTATCTGTGTTGCGGCCATGTCCTCCTTTTTCTTTTCCGTTTGCTTGGCTATTGTAGGCTTTCACACACTTGGACTAGTTTTTGATCCGGGTGCGGTTGTGCATTTTATCTTAATGAGAATGCTGCAGCCTGTGATATATGAGCCTAAATGCCTCATTATTAGGCTGAATGTCTCCTTGCGTGTGAGAAACCATCAAACAGAGCTGGATTCTATTTTATTAAAATATATTACGTACTGACAGTATTGCTGCAAAATCCATAATGAAATGAAGCTGTGACCAACAGTTATCATCCCCAGAGGATCGCTTTATGATGTTAGCAAGTGCTATCTTCTACTTGAATATATATATATATATATATATATATATATATATATATATATATATATATATATATATATATATATATACAGAAAATAAATTGGAAGTAAATAAGCATCCCTAGATTAGAAGGATTTTCTATTTTGTCTTTGCCCAGACAGTGTAGTAAAAAAAAGATGGCCGACAGACCACTGAAATGCCCCGGTTGGAATAACAAAAAATCGAATGAGGCTGCAAAATTCCTCTGTAAGTAATGAATCCGTAAGCTTTGTTATGATAACAATGAAACTTCCAACAAGTGGAATTATATGCCTCCCCTTATTTACGCGGCACAATTATGGTTCTCATGAAGTCCGGTGCTGAGGCCTGAAAGTGGCTGCGTCCTGTTGTTTCTGCCCGCTGTCAGAACACGACAGCATGTTTCCGTCCTCACAGCTCAGCAAATCTCTTGAGATATTTTCAGCAAGTACCTGAAAAAAGAAAAACCCTGTGACCATGGTGGGCCCTGTGGTGTCCTGTTTCTCCTCCTCTAACCAGCAAACAAGGCAGAGCTACTCTCTCAGCAGCCAAACACAGTTTGGATGTTTTTCCAAATAGTTTCCAGAATGATGTACAGACACAATCAAAAGAGCAACGTAGGGATTATTGTTAAAAATAAAGTGAAAAACGTTTCCTTCATCTTGTTGTGGATATAGTCAAGGCCTCAGATCCAAGGGAGTTTCTCCATGGCAAAAAGGATATAGTACTTGTAAAACAGTTACAACGCTGAAACTACCCATTTTGACCCTTTTAACTAAAAATTTAAATCTTTTTAATGTGATAGACAAACAGCAGTGCATTATTATGACATTTAATGGAACAAATTCATGGTTTTCACTTTTTTTTTTTTACAAGTTGAAGTCTAAAAGATGTGGCATATTTGTAGCTGGTCCTTTTTTGAGAATGTCTCCACCATATTTGAAACCTTTCCTCTTTGCAAAATACCTCATTTCAGTCAAATTGGATTGAGAGCTTTTATGTATATCAGTTTAAACCTTTTTGTTTTTCATATCTTTAAATTTTGTTCATTCTTAATCTGAACTATTGTTGCTCTAACGGATTTTATTTATTTTGAAAATTGAATTCTGAACCATCTTAAGTTCATATTTGCTCTGATATTTTTATGCTGGAACTTTCGTCCAATGGTGGATTTTTTTCTTACCAATCTTTGACAAATTTATCTGAAGTGATTCTTCCACCTGAGCTGTAGATGTATGCAGCTCGTCCAGAGCTGCATGGCATTCCACAGTTTGCACACTCTTTTATTCTCCATCGGGGAATATGTAGCAATGCTGTGCTTTGTCTTAAAATCTAAATAAATAAGACCAGTTAGTTGTTTTACTATGACGAAACGTGAAAGTAGGCCACTAAGTGCCGAATCGTTTTGAAAGCACTGTATGGTAAGAAAGGAATAAAAGCATTACTATCTCCTAAATAACCTGAGCTGATTAGATGGAAAGGGCAATGGCCTCAGAGGAAGACCTGCTTTTGAATGATTCATAGCTTTATCATTAGACGGATTAGTGGTATGACAGTCTGCTGACTGTCATGTGGCTACAGATGTTGGCAAATGTGATGATTCAGCGTTTAATGGTGCAAAACTGTTGGAAAACATTGTCAAGAGAGGAAAAAAAGCATGTTTTCAGTCTTCTGTAATTAAAAAATACAGAGAATAAGGTTTGTTTTACAGCAAAATGTCATCATTCATTAACAAGTAAACCTGAAAATCTTAGTTCTACCGTGATTTAGATTTTCTTGTTTTTAACATATTTTGAATTGAATTTCATAATGGTCATTATTTTATCAGAAAACAAACCATGCAGTACATCTTGTATTCTCCTGGTTGTTTCCATGGTTTCTAACAATGTCTCTTCAGCAGTCCTGCCTCATGTTGTAAAAAGTATTTTCCTGATGATGTTCATAGCGGTTAACGCCTGCTTTTGTGTCTGTCCAGGTGCTGGGTCGGTGCTTCGTCACAGTGATGCAGGTCCATTTCCAGTTTCTTTCACAAGCGTTGCAAAAGGTCCAGCCTGTGGCCCAGAACTGCCTGGCAGAGGCTCTTGCTCAGGCTCAAGAGCGCTGCGTCAACGCCCGCTCCCAAAGCTCCGACCTGGGGCCCCTAACGGAGCTGGAAGAAGCCTCTCGCTCATGGAAAGGTGCAGCTGAGGTATGCAGCCACTAGGCCAGGAGTCTTTCCAGGTCCTAGGCCATGGAAACACTGGGTTTGTCGTATGAGGTCAAAAAGCAGCTTGTAATACATTCCTGATGAACACTAGCTGTGAGATTTCCAGCCACAATTTCCTATTTCCTTTCTGCCAGGCTGCAGCGCGTCTGTGAACCTGCATAGCTTTGACTGCGCCCCTCTAATTCTAGCCTGTTCTGTAAAAGGAGCCGACTAATCCTCAGGCTAATCAGCCTCTCTGGCTCCCATTCAAGTCTAGTTGTATAAAGAGGAGTACATAGGAAAGTAGTAGGTTGATTGATCTGTTAAACCCTGACATGGTAAATGATGGCCTTGGAAGAAACAAGGACTGCATATAGGGCACAGAGGCTGTTTTTAAATCCATCCATTTTTTCCCTCACGCTTTATCCCTGATGGGGTCGCAAGGGGTGCCGGTGCCAATCTCCAGCTGTCTACGGGTGAGAGGCGGGGTACACCCTGAACAGGTCACCAGTCTATCTCAGGGCATCAGAGACAAACACACTGACACCTAAGGAGAATTTAGAAAGGCCAATTAACCTAACAGTCATATTTCAAATCACTTTAAAAAAAAACAACAACTTTGTTCTCTAAAGCGGTATCTGACAAGATTCATGCAGCTAAAGTGTTTATTTTACTTAATGTAGAAATATCAGATACCTTAAGATGTGTAAGCAGAACGTTAAATCAGTTAAAATCTGCTGTTATGCCTTCAGGCCACAGCTCGGCTGAGAGAAAGAGGCCGGGACGGCTGCCTGGCTGGCCTCCAGGTTCAGCAGCTCTTTTGCTCCAACAACACCACCATCCCTGAACACCAGCTGAAGGAGCTCAACATGAAGATTGACAGCGCTTTACAAGTACGCCTGCAGCCGCTTCATCAAACCTAAGTTTACTTCACAAACTCCTGCTGTTACAGTGCTTGGATTTATTAGGGCATCAACAAAAGATAATTTCATTTAGGAATTTTTCAGTGTTTTTATATACTTGAAAACTCCAAATCCTGTTTTTCCAGAAATCTACGTAGAACAAAAGACCAATACAGAATTTTTATGAGAAAATGAAAAATGAAAAATAGCCGTCTACAAAGGGATTTCCAGTCCTCTTTAGGCTGCATTTATCTATTTTGGCACCATGTTTTTTTTTCTTATACTCAACTTTCCATGAATACGTCTTGATCCAGCACTGTTTGGGCAGCTGTATTGCTATGTTTTTGTAAAATACAACATTACAGTAATCAATTTTTAAAAAAGAGATTAATTTTAGTTTTAGGGTACAATAATGAAAAGCAACAGGAATAAATGTTTAAAATCTATCCCTCAAATATTCAGTATTGGTGTATTTACTCTGCTGCTGGTGTTTCCTCCCCATCAAGGCCTACAGAGCAGCTCTGGAAAGCCTGGGCCATAGTGAGTATGCACTGAAGGCCGGCTTTCATCTCAACCCTAAAGCTGTGGAGGCTGCCTTACAGGTAGAAACTATTTTCAAACTTACTTTTTTATTAATGTTTAACCAGATTGGAGATCAGTTGGATGCTGTTTGCAAACTAATTCCCAGCTTACCACCATGGTGGATTTTCTGTAACGTGTTTGGCCTGTTTTATGTGAAGGGCTGCTGCAATGAGGCTGAGGCTCAGCAGGCAGGCAGGAGGCAGACCCCCTCCCAGCCCATCCAGTGTGAGCTTCCCACCATCCCTGTGCAGATCGGCTCCCACTTCCTGAAAGGGGTCTCCTTCAATGAGTCAGCAGCTGAAAACCTCAAACTGAAAACGGTACCGCCTGTTTTTTTTTTTTTTTTTTTATATAAATTTATCAAAGCGTAGAGTTATTTGTATATAAGTTTGATTTATGGTCCTAAAGCGTTAGATCATGTCTCTTTGTCATGGTATAACAAAATTCTATTTTTAAATGTCTTCAATGTTTTTGAGGAATGTTTCAATTTCCTGTTGCAACAAGAACCACCTCAGTCAATACCAAGTTTTCCACTTATCGTCGTACTGACAGACATTTGAACATTTCTTCTGTTGTGTCGTAACAACAAACACAAGAAGTTGTGTTGAATCTTTTAATCTGATTGTAAAGGCGTGCGTAAACATAACTAAAAGTTGGAATTCAAAGTAGAAAAGTTGGTGTCACACGAACCCAGCTTTGAGCTTTGAGTATTTACACGATACAATGTCAGCATGATTCATACGTAACGTTATTACTTATTTCATAATGTGGGATGATAAAAAGGCTTGATCAAACTAGTTTTCTCAAACAGAAAATAGTAGTTAAAACCATCAGGTATAAGAAAAATGACCCATTTCTTATTTACCGAAGTGTTACATAAACTTTAAAACAAATTGGATAGAAGCAAAGTATTTCTGTTAACTTTCTAACATCAGAGGTGTTTGTACTGCTGCAGTTTTTTTTATTGTTATTAGTTATAATAGGACTAGAATTAGCTGTGGTTTTCAAATAGCCACGGTTGTGCAAAAAATTATGCATTTTAAGCTCAATGTTTAAACAGCAGCCGGTTGATGTTTGCTCTATTTTAAAAAAACTCGTTTTCCTTGTTTTCATCCTCCAGAAATATTTTCAAACTGCTCATATTAAAATAATAAGTAAAAAGTGTTCGAGCCGTTTTTCAGCCAGCTGACTGGAAGTGCACATCCACTGGTAGGGTAGAAATGGATGAATAGATGCTCCATTAGAGCTTTTTCCACCATCCAATTAAAAATGATCCAAATTGTAGGATTTATATTACAATCTTGATCATGTGGCTGTTTAAACCAGAATATCCAGCTAACTGGAGGACTGCTATGTGGATACCAGTTTTCTTCCTATGGAGACGGCAACAAAAACCAATCAACCACAGCCAGTTTAACATCATCAGATGTTTAAAAGGAGGCATCCAAACTGACGTCCATGTGTGTTTTGTCTGCAGCAAACAATGCTTCAGCTCATTAAAGATCTGCTGGGACAGAACGGAATGACCCCCAGGGACGAGTCTCCGGTCACTGAAGTCCTCAATCAGGTTTGCCCATCCAGATGGAGGGGGGCCTGTAAGACGGCGGTCCAGCTGCTGTTCGCTCAGGCCGGTCTGGTGAGAAGCAAACCTGGAGTTAATTGCTCCTAACTTTGTAGAAAATCTGTTAAGTGGTCATTATTTCAAACAGGTCTCTGGAAATAGTTACTGAATCCTTGGTGTTGCTCTGAGTTTCTTATCTTTGTCTTCATTGTTATTTAAATTGGTAACAGAGGAGCAGGACTCTAATGGCTTCAAGGTGTAAACAAACACCAGAGAAACAAAAGAAGAAGAAAACATTCCTGCAGCATCATAATGCAGGAAAGGCTTGCCTGGACGGGTCCATGAACAAAGCTCCACTGCTTTTTAGCATTTACTTTTCCCCTTTTACTGTTAAAGAAGGAATGAAAAGGAAGCTGGGTCATTGTTGTGTTTAGTTTAGTTTTTTTCTCCTCTGTAATCCTCTGTTTGGTGGGTTAAAGCTGAGTTCCCATCAAGCCTTCCCAGCGGAGCTCGAACTGTAAAACAATCTTTGATGAATGAGTCTTTAGCATTAGCTCCTTATCCCAGCCTTTCGCCTTTAAGCTGCAAATAGACACCACTTCATGCAAATGATCAGTTCCCAACTTCTTAAAACCCCCTGCACTTAGTGGAACACTTGCTGTCAGTGCAGCAGAGCTCACAGGACAGTAACCGGAACACTGCTGGAAACTGTATAATGTCTATATAAGAGAATCTCTTAAAATGGTTTCCATGATAAATGGCAGTAGTAGTACTGTTTATTCATACAGGACTTCCATGTTTGGTGCTAGATTGAAAACTGAAATCTTAACTTTTATTCTTTTAAATTGTTCAGAATATATAAAAATATGTATAAACTGCATCATGACACAGAATCAGAAGACAAACATGTTTTTAACATGAATTTCTGGTGAATTATCTGTGCTGCTCTCTTTAGGGGGAAAAAATACCACTAAGCAGGTTTTTAAAGGATACACCTGCTCTACAAAAACAATAGTCATTTCCTGTAAAACAGGAAACGGGCTCCTCCCTACTTCCCTCCCTCTCTGTGACCCAGCTTGTATGGGTTTCGAAGAGCCAAGGCTACTTTAAGAGAACTTGGAAATAGATGGAACATTTGCTCACAGCAAGCAGAAAGAAATGACGATTGTCTGGTTAGAAGCTTTAGGTTTTCCACCTTGAACTCGCCTCTCTCTGCTCAGGAGACACCAGCTGCTAGTGAGTTAGCATTATTGAAGGAAACTGCTGTCATTCATAATGATTTAGCTTATTACTGCAATATGTTAATGATCTTTGAAGATAATTGATAATATTTGGTTGTAAAACCTTTAAAAGCATCATTACATTGTTTTTTTTCTTTCTATGTCCCAAAAGGTGGTTGTTGATACAGCTCAGATTGAAAATAAGGAAGCCTACGCTCCACACATCACTCTGGAGGGATCCAAGGTGGTGGTCCAGGTCCCCTCGACATGGTGGGTCTATCCACGCACACTGATGGATGTTTTTGGTCACTTGCACACCTCCTAAAATTGGAGTCACTCGCTTCCCTCAGTGAGGTCTAGAAGCACAAGATTTATAACCAGCCGATCAAAGATGTTACCAAGTGGCAGTACATCTCATTTAGGCAATTTGGTATTTGACCAATCTGATGAGACCTTGGGTGAGATTTTACTACCCACTGTAAATTAAGTTGGAAAGGGTTCATAAGTTAAAAAGTTGAACATTGAAGTGAACAAGTAAAAACAAAAAAACAGTTCCTGTAGCAGCATTAATGTTTTAAGGTAAAATAATGTTTCTGTCCCTGTTTTTCATGTATTTCTTAGACTTCTTTTAACCATTTTAGTGTGAGAGTTAGTTTCTGTTAATTACATTGTTTGTTACATTTGTCTGTTTTTTTCAAATTATTTCACTGCCCTTTAAAATGTTGATGTTTTGCCGTCTTGTTATCGGTCAGGTGTCTGAAGGAGGACCCTGCCACTATGTCCCTGCTCCAGCGGAGCCTGGACCCAGAGAAGACGCTTGGATTGGTCGATGTTCTTTACACAGCAGTGTTTGACATGAACCGATGGAAAGAACGAAAGTAAGGGGATGTTGAATAATTTCCTTCCCCCATGAAAGTAGTTTTTCCTTGCTCTGATAAGCCCGGAACGCTGTGAGTAACGGGTTGTGTCTTTCTCCGAACCAGGGAGCAGACTTTGCCGACAATACAGATACAGCTGCAGCGGGAAAGCCCAGAATACGTCGGCCAGGCAGACCTGCCTACAGGCAACAGCTCCAAAACCTCCAGCGGGTTGCCAAAAACTATATCTAAACTGACTTCCAAGTTTGCCAAGAAGGTCTCATCCAGCTCCAACAGCGGAGGCAGCTACTCCATCCCCAGCACTCCATCCCGCAGCATGCTTTCCAGTGGTAGCTCTGACGACAAGTCCAAAGGCCTCGGGCACAGCAACGGGAGGCTTCAGAGCGCCGTAACGATGGGCGGCTTATCCAGCGGCCCCGACGCCAACCAGCAGAACCAGCTGGCTAACGGCTCAGTGTGCGACGACCAGGGGATGAACCTTCCCACCGACCAGGAGATGCAAGACGTCATTGACTTTCTCTCAGGATTCAACATGGGCAAATCCCAGCAGGCCTCCCCCCTGGTGAAGAGGAGGAACTCTGTGGCCTCTGCTAACCCTGCGGAGCTCAAGCCCCCAAGTGGTCATCCACCAGCTTCCCAGTCTGTTTCTTACACATCCAGCTCCCTGCCTCAACCTCAGCCTCCATCAGTGCAGAAGCAGCAGACACAGCCTCAATCCCAGCCCCCCCCACCCCAGCAGCAGCAGCCTGCCCCTCCTCCTCCTCAGCAGCCCTCCCCACCTGCCCTGCAGTACTATCAGCACCTGCTGCAGCCCATCACCCAGCAACAGGCCCCACCTCCCCAGCAGACCCCGCCGCAGGTTCTACCACAGCAGAGGGTGGCGAACAAGTGGCTCGGCACCTCAGGGCAACAGTCTGCAGCACAAACCCCGCCGGCGGGCCTGTCACCCTTAGGCCCCATCAACCAGTGGGGATCCCCCGGGCTGCCGGATCTGAGCTCGGACCTGTACAGTCTGGGCCTGGACAGCACCTACATGGAGAGCGTTATCTCCGCTATGCTGGGTCAGAAGCCACAGGGGCCTCGCAACAACACCTGGCCCAACAGGGACCAGAGTGAGGGGATGTTTGGAGTACTGGGAGACACGCTACCCTTTGACCCTGCAGGTGAGGCCAGCAGCAACAACATACAAGTGCTGTTTAGATCTTAAAATAAAAATGAACTGGATGCTACAATTAAATAAAGCAGAAACACGGTGATTGGGATCAATTCTGTAAAGTTCACAAGGTTTGTTTGTTTTAAGTGGAACTTTGAAATCCAAACCACTGAATATTTTTTTTTCTGCCCAATAGAAGTTCTCTCAGCTAAAGTGAAACCTTTCTCACTTCACAAAAGGAAATTAGTTTGCAGAGCTTCAGTTCAATAAACAAGGAGGGTCTGCATACAGAATATCTGATGCTCATCACTAACAGAATCTTAGTGCCATTTAGTAAACATGTCTGTAATTATCCACTTCCTGATTTAAAGGATCTATCAGGATCCACAGAGCAGCTGTTTTTTCTGCATCATCTGGGTGTGATGATAGATGGAGGTAATGTGCTGAGTTGGGCTTGTCTGTTTCTCTCTTTGACAGCAGCTGAAGCCCAGTGTTCAGAGTTGACTTATGGCTTTTGTAAATTTTCCTGCCGTCGTCGACAGTCTGGCTGCTGGGTGCCAAAGAGAAAAGCTGAGAGAGTCAGAAACTAATGTGCGTTTATCCCCCCCTCATCTTTTTTTTTCTTTTTTTTTTCACGCACAGTTGGCTCTGACCCAGAGTTTGCACGTTATGTGGCCGGCGTCAGTCAGGCCATGCAGCAGAAACGGCAGGTGCAGCAAATCCGTCGCCCCAGCAACACGCGCAGCAACTGGCCGATGCCCGATGAGCAGCACAGGACCTGGTCCCATCCGGAGTACTTTAATGAGGGGTGGGTATCTGCAAAACACAAGGGAACTTTTTTCTTTACTGGTATCCAAATAAAGGTTTAAACTGTACCATTCAGTGGTGAGATTTAGGGCTTCAACTGATGATTATTTTGATAATTATGTTTAATTGATTAATAATCAGATAGGAAAAGGTTCCTTAAAGATTTTTTTTACAGGTGAAATTAAAGCTTTTTTTTCTTTCTTTCTTAAATGCAAAGTAATAATATATATTTCACAGTTTTGTTATAATTACTCCTTTAAGTGGGTTTCTCTATCAGCTAAAGACATGTTTTATAATCTATATACTCCAGGTAATGATTAATCGATGAGTTAATTAGTTGACCATTATTTCAATAATCGATTATTTACAATTATTGTGTCCGCCCTAGTGAGATTATTAGAAAATATAGCCCCATTTATACTACCCTTGAAAAACCGATCCATGCCGAGACCAGTCCGAGTTCGGATCAGTTAACCAGGCCAGGCTCGGTTCTGACTAGGGTTGGGTATTTGCAAACAAGTCGTGATTCGATTCGAATCACGATTCACATGCCACGATGTGATTCTATCACGATGCATCACGATACTTGAAATATGGCGATGCATTGCAATATTTTCCCTGAACACTGTAAGAAAAAGATCCAGCCCTTACCAGTGGCTGACTGGCTGGGTGTGATCTGGATAATGTCTTCAATTGATACATACCTGAAAGCAACTGAATTCATACATAGCTGGATTTATTGAAACAACTTTAGGAGGTGTTGCCATGAAAACAAATACTGGACACAAATATTACTATTACTGGCGTGGACACACTGACAAAAAGATCTTAGGATTCATCAAACTTAAAATAACAAAATAAGGATAATCAGTGGCGTTTACACTGCCTCAGTGGTCCTTTAAACCAATGAAACGAAAATATTCAAATGTATGACATTTCCCCTTTTGCAAATTACGTGCATCATATCAATTTCGTTTTCATCTTCTTTGTTTTTAAAGGCTAAATGCATCCAAGCATCTGACTTGAAATGTGTTGGAGCCGGGGGGCGAATTTTCTCAGTGTCCATGTTTTGTTTACAAATGACTCGTCTCAGTATCCCACGGCCGGAAATGCTCGTGACACAAAGCAGCGGGTGTCAACACATCTGCAGCGACATCTGCTGGACTGGAAGTTGTATTCCACTTGATTTGGCTGATGTGCGCCAACCATTTATGTATTTTATTTGTTCATTTTTTTTTATTAAGAATCGATACTTGGCGTCAAGAATCGATGCAGTAGATCACAAACATTAGAATCGCGATGCATCATCATGACGATTATTTTGCACACCCCTAGTTCTGACGACCGTTTACACATCACGCTATCTCGGTTCCTCGCCTCCTAGTGACGATCTGCGGTATTACTGCCAGTATTAAAGGAGGAAATCAAGCAGTTGGTGGCGGTAATGCACCGAAAGTTGTTTGCCAACGGCCATAAAACACAAGAAGAAGAAAACGAAGAAGGAGGAATCAAGCAAATCAAAATGGCGGCGCCCGTCACATTCAGAATGTTATGCTTGATTATTATTGCTGTACTTCGGTGTCACTATTTAAAATGCCTTTATTTAAAATGTTGCGTGGAGAAGATTTCGGTTGTTGTTTATAGTTGAAGAAGTTGTTCTTCTGTTTTTGGAGGGGCATTACCGCCAACTACTGGAATGGAGTGTGAATAAGGATGTGCAGCCAGAGGGAGATGACGCGTTCTGCTCATGCGCTCTTGTTATCAGAGAACCGAGCCAGGGAAAAACCGAGCAGAGCCCACCTCTAGAACTGGTCTGCAGTTATCTCGGTTCGGTTGTGTCTACGTCGGTTCAGTTCAGTTTGCTTTCCATTTACACACGATAAGTTATACCAGTTACTGAGCTCGGACTGGTCTCGGCACGCTTTTTAGTGTAAATGGGGTATATGTAAAGAGCTGCCAGACATGCCAGCAAATTCACCATAAGGTCCATCTGTATTATGCAGAGGGAAATGGCAAAAAGACCCAAACCACCCAAAACATGTGGCGAAATCAATGTGGAGTCATATTTTGGCCATAAAGTTTGTTTAAAAAATATTCTATTTACCATTTTTTTTTTTTCCATTCAACTCGCAGAATTTATTTTTCTTTTTTTCAGGATTTATACTTATGGACCTGGAGTCATGATTCAACACAGCAGCTGAACAACCTAAACCTACAGTAGCTGTTGCGTTTAAATGCTGCGAGAAGTTGAAATGTTTTTAAAACATCAGTATTCTATGCGTATGTGATTGGTTGTAAAAATAACATTTCCCTGATTTTCACTGACTTTTACCTATTTACTATTTTTGTTTCAGGTTTCTTTTCTTTTGATAAAACTTTATGGCCCAAATTTAGCTCCATAAATTCAGACCTCATTGTGGTGATGATCAAATGAGAGGCAGTCCGTCTGTTTCCAAACCTGCTCATTTAAAAATCCCCATTCCTCCAGGGTTTCTGAAACTTTTTATATGTTGCATTTGAAAATCAGCATGAATGACTGGCAATTAAATCAGATCTCTCCCGCTCTGATTAAACCACCATTTTAACAGTTAACTAACAGTCTAAATGCTGAGCAGCCTTCCTTCTGCTGGTTTGCCTTTAGTGGAAATGATGCAGATTCACTAAGCTGGGAGAAAGCAGACAGTTTTTGTCCTAGCATGCATTCACTCGCCCATAGTAGCATAAATACACGTTAGATCTCAGATGCCTGGATAATAACAAGCTGACTCCTTCTGTAAAAACATTGGGGTCTGATGCAGGTCCTGTATGAAGTATGGAGAGAAGTTTAAACCATCTTTCGCAATAATCTCTGTCAGTGTTTTAATTGAACTCCTAATACGGCTGAAACCGTATCACGTTAATCACCATCGCCATTTATTTCCACCTACACATGAAACTCCTTCCCGCTTCCAACCTCGAGGTAAACAAGCTGCCACAGCAGCACTTACATCTCGTATGGAAACAGTAGGAACATTCATTGAACTGATCCAGCTTCTAACACATCCTGTGTTTTTAAACGGAACATGAGTGTTTTTCATCTTTTAAAAGAACATAACGCAAACGCTGCGGTTGCTTTCTCAGGGAGGCCGTGAACAGCAGCTGGTCGGCTAACCAGGGAGATTCGGCCAGCTCCAGCGATGAGACGTCCTCGGCCAACGGCGACAGCCTGTTCTCCATGTTTTCTGGGCCGGACCTTGTAGCAGCGGTGAAACAGAGGAGGTAAGTTGGGCGCTAATCCACGCAATTTATGATGATTATCTCATTAAGTATGAATATTATGGGGAAAAAAAGTCAATTTGTACAGCTTTCAGTTTCCCTCTAAACACGTGACATGTAGAACATATAAAAGTTTTTTTTTTTTGATGCAGCAATGTCCCTTTTGTAATTAAAGTAACACATTTAAAACTCAGTATTTGCTCAAAAAAGATCTTGAAAAGATCTTTTAGCATCAGCGCAGCATAGCGGCTGGTAGGCTAGAGTCGACGCCTCTGAAATTTAGATACTTGGGTTTGATGGCCGTTTTTTTTTTTTTTTTGTGACTGATTGAGGATTCTGTTGTCTTGGTTTTAGGAAACACAGCTGCGGCGAGCCAGAGGTGTGCACCCTGCCGTCACCGCCTCTACATCACATCAGCGACGATAACCAGGTAGCAGCCCGGACTAGATGTGCTTTTCATTTCCATGTTCTGAGCGAATGCAATCGTCATTTTCTCTCAACCCTTTGCCCGACAGGACAGCAAAACCAAAACCTGGCCCCCGAAGGCGCCGTGGCAGCACACCACCCACACCATGCCCAATCCCAGCTCTTCCTTGTACCAGATGAACCTGCCTCCTTCCTCCCAGTGGAGCGACTCCATGCAGATGCTGCAGTCTCCCGTGTGGTCCACCGCCGGCGACTGCTCGGCCTCCACCGGGATCTCCTCCGGTTTCCCCTTCGCCCAACAGCAACAGCAGCAGCAGCAGCAACACAAACCCATGACCAAGGGCTTCAAATCCTTCCCCATCAAACCCGAGCACAGGCCCTCCTACCTTCACCAGTACTGATCCAAACCAGTCCAAAGTAATGTGCCACTGAGGATCTGCAGCTCCCATCATTACACTCCGCCACCCACTAAAAATGGAAGATTTAAGTACACACACTGGCTCAGCATTTTCTCTTTTTAGTATTTATATTTTTCCATGTTAAACATCACATTAAAAGAAAAAGAAAAAAAGCCGTTCTTTGACGATTTCTGAACTGCCATCTCCTAACTGCGAGCGACGCATGCGTCCTACCAGAAGCAGTCAAATCTAGTGGTGGTTTCTCTGACCAGAGCTGGAGACATGCACGACCATCACCAACTTGCTTCTGCAGCTGTGTATGGGATGAGGGGGCGCGTAATGCCCATAATGAGTATACTGTGTCTACATAGCTGTAACTGCCAAATCTCATTCAACATGACCGAGTACAGCTAGCATCTACTGTTTCATAGCTTGTAAGAAGAAAAAAAATACTGAAGTTGAAATATATTTAGTTCTTTTTATGGAGAGGCTTTGAGCAGGCTCAGCGTAAAATAAGAGTAAGCCACTGCAGAGGTTTCATTTGAGAGAAATACACTACTTTTACATCAACTGACCAGTCCTAGCTATATCTATGTGCCATGTTGGTATTGAAAGCACTTGCAGATTAAATTTTTCCAACCAAAGCGTTCAGAGGACGACTGGTGCTGAGGAGACGGCGGTCACTAACCAACAAGTTGATTTCTTTCCTCAATAATTGGCTTTTCTTTTCCTTTTGCTTATAAATTTAAATAACTAATTGACACTAAGTCCCATAAACTTTGTTTTGTTTTTTTTTGAAGATATTTTTGTGTACAAGTATTGACAGTATTAATCTTATTTTTGTATTACATGTTATACCACAGCTGTATGTTAGTTTCTTTTTTTTTCCATTTCCCTGTTTGTGAAAAAGCACATTTCTTTTTTTTTTTCTCCAGTCAAATGAAACCATTGATCTCCAAAGGTTACCAAATATTCCAGGCTAAAACACTAAAACGTGCAGAGGAGGGCGGGCCTTGTTCCTTTGGGATTTTGGCAGCGGGCTTCGTTTAAAAGCCCAGAATGTTTTGGGTTTTTTTGTTGTGATGTTTGCGGATGCCAATGTTGCCTGTATTTATGAAACGACACCGTGTTTTCAGATAACTAACATACTTAACATGTTTACAGAGAATCGTTTGTTGTACATACATATAAATATATATCTTTTTATAGTTAATGTGCTTTGCACAATCAAGATATAGGGTTTGTTGCTTTTTGTCTGTGTTATCTCCCTAACTGTTGCAGCCTTTGTTTTTGTTGTTTTGTTTTTTAAAGACATCATTTACAGACCTTGGACTGTAACTGTTAGCTTCTCGGCTGTGTACAAATGGTTTACTAGTGGCTTCTACTAAAAAAAAGGTGGAGAAAAATAATAAAAAATATGCTACCCTGGAAGATAAGATGAAGGGAGATTGCTTGGCTTATGTTGCTTATTGTTTTGATGGCAACTGACCCTTTGTTTTTTTTCTTCCCAAGTGTACCAGCAAAGCAAAAAAAAAAAAATTGAATAAAAGTAACTAGCAATTGGAAACGCAAAGAGTTGTTTAATCATCCTACATTCAGATTTACACAAATACTTTTTACTGTACATCTCATCTGTAAATTACAGAAAAAGCAGGAACGGATGAATTATATACTACAATATTTCATTATAAAAATCGTCTTATGTGAAAACTATCATGGAGGGTCTGGGCGTCCGGTCGGAGCAGCTGTTGAGGCGTCGCTGGATGAACACTGGGAACAAAGAAAAGAGATTTGTGTGTGGGGGGGGGGGTAATAAGACCTTACTGTCTGACTCTTAATAAGCGCTGTTTCTCCTTACGTTTGTGAGGGGCGGTGTGTCATCAGGGCTGGCGTCCGCTATGGTTGCCAGATAGACGATGTTCCGGTGAAGAATCTGCTGGTACCTGTTTCACATAAACATAACTCAAGTCATGGCAGATTTGGGCTGTTTGGATTTATTTTACCATTAATACCCTCCATCTGCTGTGGTCTATTTTACAGCTGAATTAGCTTATGTTTTTGGAAAAACTCAAGACCAAATTTCAGTTTACTTCACATTAAATCGGGTTCATTAAGTTAGTGTGATAACCGATATAAACAGGTTCTGATTTGGAAAACAGATTTTTTTTAATTAAGTCTAAAGTAGGGCTGCAACAATTATTTTGTAAATTGATTAATCTGTCGAATTAATCGATTAATAATCGGATAGCCAAAGACGGATAGTTTTCCATCTGACTGAGACGGAAAACCAGCTTCCTAAATTGGAAAAATTATAGCTGGACAGAAATAGTGTTACACACTGATGAAAAGAAAAAGTTATGGTCTTTTAGACTTTATTCCACCCCGTAAAATGCTAATTATAAGGTGTTTTGTTTCCACAAGTAGAATAAAAGGTTTGTAAATGAAACCCTGTAAACTATAAACTGTGAGGCTGATTGTGGAGCAGCAGTCTGCCAGCTATTTGCTCTGGAGCTTAATGGTGGCTAAAATTATAATGTAGTATAATAACATTTACCCATCTTTAAACTTTAGTGGCTTTTATAAAGGATATAAAAAAATTTGTAATCTTTATCTTTCATTTCTCTTTTCATCCAATTTATTAAATCTTACATTTAAATAGATTTTTTTATGATATAAATGTTTTTATATTTATTTTTCTTGGAATTTGTTTTCTATCAAATAATACCCTATATTTTCCCTCTTAAGATCTAAAAAACACAAATCTAGGTTGTTTGAAATAGTAACAGCTTTCTTATGGTAGCTAATCAAAGATAAAAGATTATGCTTTATTAAAGTCATGTTCTATTTTGTGGCTCTAAATGACTCCTTATCTGGACTCCATGAAAAATGGCTCTTTGTGTTTGAAAGGCTGCACTGACCAACTCTGGTCAGGTTTTAGCCAGTCCAACTTTAAAGAGTAAAATGCTCAAATGTGAATTTTATTGTTTTAATACCAATTACAGATTCTATTGAACACATAATATAATAAATTTTATTTGTAATGCACTTTACACTTAACAAAAATCTCAAAGTGCTACAAGTAAAAGCAAACATCACTGTAAAATACATATGAATAATCCAGTCAGTGGCATAACTATAAAATGTTAAGTGGTAAGTTTTGTTAAAAACAATGTTTTTAGTCCTTTTTTGAAGCCTGGATAGTCTGTGGTTCCCTCAGATGATCAGGGACAGCATTCCAGAATATTAGTTAAAAATGCTGATATTAGAATTTATACTATATAAAAGTATATGCCGTATGTATGTATGTGTATATATATATATATATATATATATATATAAATAAACATATATACATATTTATATACACATACATATATCTATATATATCTGTATATGTGTGTGTATATGGGGTTCTCCTGCAATACCGCCAGTAGTCAATAGATGTAGCTGTTTGACCACTAACTTGGATTGAGTAGGACTACTTGTAGTGACCACAACTAACCACTGAATGAAGCTCAATGGAGGGGGGCAGCAGAGAGACAATTTTCACCATAGAAACTTTGCATTCAGGAGAAAACAGCTTTTTTTTTTTTAAGGAGGACCCCATAAAAAGGGTGCAACATCTCACAAAAACCAGCTTTTTTTTTTCAAAATTAGAATATAATTCTTACAATTTTTTTTTCAGTAGATATTGGTGCGAGCCATTTTAGGAATGAAATTGAGATGAGATCGTCTATGGTTAATAAATAAAGATGCCAGGCTCGATTTATTTTAACAGATGAAGAACCGCAGGTCCAAATGAACAGGCTACCGCTAAATGATGAGGTTTTTATCTTACTGCACACACTCCACGGCGCGTCCTTTCTGCATGTACTCAGTGATGCATCTTATCAGCTGATCGTTTTCATCCAGTAGCTTCAGAAAAACGAACAAAACAGAAATACAACATTGAGATATTAATATAACATCGCATCGTTGTATAAACCCAAAAGGCAGACATGTTTTAGCTCACCAAGTAAAACTAAGCTAAATATTTTTATGTTATTTTTTTTCGATTTGCAGCAGCTTCTACTTTTTCTTGTCCATTTTCCCGAACACCTTCTTACCCTCTGTATCGTCTCTTGGTTGATTTTTGCCTTGCCTCGGAGCTTCTTTGGGACAAAAACAATGGACATGTCTGATTAGCTCGTTAATTCCTGTTTACATCGGGTAGCCGCGCGTTTACTTCCGTCCTTCTTGCTCTTTGTCTCCTGAATCCGGTAAAGGTTGTGTTGTCTCAGAGCATTAGCGCCCTCTACTGGAAATTGCAAACAAAGCTTCTCGTTGATATTAACCTAACTGGAAAAATTTGAAATCTAAATAATAATGTAACTTTATTGATCTCATATTGGAGAAATTTGCCTAAGATGTAGAAAAGTGATGCTGGGTGACTTTGGCTTGTAATTAATTAACTTTGTTAATGTGACACTGGAGAAATTTACCTCTGCATTTGACCCATCCCCTTGGGCAGCAATGGGCTGCCATTGTGAGGCGCCTGGTGAGCAGTGCTGGCATCACTCCCCCAAAAAGAGAATTTTTTCTTGAAATAATTGAGGTGAGACACTTCACCAATATAAGAAGACAATTTACATTTAAAAATCTGAAGAAAAAAAACAAGTGCAATCATCTTATTTCAAGTGCATATTATCTAATTGAGTAAAATTACTCATTCCATTGGCAGTTCATCTTATTTACCTAATAAAATTAAGGGTGACTAAACTTAATTTGAGAAAGTTGAATTATTTCTAGATCGTTTTTGCAGTGTTACTAGGAATGAGCTTCACAAAGTGGATGTTAACATGTTCCCTACATAAGTGTTAACTTCCCCCTCGTAGAACATCTTAAACACTGTGCAACAAATACAAAAGGAAATGTGAGAAATGTATGGCAAATCTGAAATAATTTAGTTTATTTTATCCTCTGGTTAAAACAAAAAATAGATGATCTAAAACTATATTTAAGAAATGCACCATCTTGTATGAACTGAATCACAATAAATATACAAGACAAAAAAGTTTGGAGGTTGAAAACCTTGGCTTTGCAAATAAAAAAAGATTTTTAAGATTGGCTTTTATACATCAGGAAGAGAAAAAAAAGAACTAATTAACTAAAGAACTATTAAGTTTTGCTAATTAGATTGCAACAGAAGAGCTGATGGGACTAGATAAGCTAATTATATTTGGTATATTTGTGTAGAAATATGTGAAATTCTACAATTAACACCATCTACATATTTCACTAAATGAGCAATGTGCTTACTAAGAAAAAGCCAGGTTTCAATCTGGACAGGTCACCAGGGCAACACACGACAGCAATAGACTCACATTGTTGGGTCATTTGGAGTCACAGGTTAAATGTAATAAAAACCAAGTTTGAGATGAGATGCTAGAAAAGCACCAGTTTACCCAAACAAACATTCTTATTCGCAAGAAAATAACGATAAATATTAAAAATCTGATATACATATAAAAAAGAATAAAAACAGGAAGACATGTAAATTGTACAACTCTTTATTTTTTGTAAAAACTTAATTTGAACGATATCCCAAGAAAACAATTCCAGTGACTGGAAAGAGTAGCAAACATGAAAAATGTCAGTTCTGGCTAGAATAACAATTTTGAGTCGAATCATATCAGATACTGTTTAAGCAAATAGAAATTCCACAGGCCATCAAGCATTTCTCAGCTGTTTGTGCAATAAACTTTTCAAGACATTTACTGTTTAGACCACATACAAAGAAGAGGATCTATGTTCCTCTTGTAGTGCTAGCAGTACTTCTGTCAAGATTTAACATTTAAGTTAAAGGGAGAGAAATGCAGGGGAAACAAACCAGACCGCTACGCTCAAGGCACTCCCTAAAATGTCTGAGGATTGGATTTAAAAATGAACGAGAACTTGACAATACTGGCTCCGCATCCAGCTTTTGTCCCTTTGTTAACAAGTCAGTAAAAAAATAAATTCACTCCTGAGAACAATGCAACAAATGGAGCTACAATCGATCAAAATCCAGTTAGAAATGCATCTGAATTAGTTGCAGACGCTGAGTAAACAACTCATGTAACACTACAAGTGCTTCATTTAGCAGGGAGACTTGCTGCCTGTTGACATTGTGGGAGAAACATCCATGAGACAAAAGTACAACACAAAGGGACGCCTTTACTAAAAAAAAAAAAAAATCCCAACAATCATTCTTAGAATTACTGAAATTACAAGCGCATACATTTCAATGACAATTTCTGTTTTAAAGACTTCTTTTCTGGCAGAGCAGCAAATTTAGGTAAATAGAAGTTGTTGCCAAGACCTTGTATAATTTTATTAATTAACACAAATTAGGAAAAAAATATATCTTGTATCCTTTATGTAAACAAACCCGATTCTAAATAAAAGCTGCACTCATAAAATCCCATAACAGCTCAAGATTTGTGATAAACCAAAGAGTTTGGTTTCTTGAATTCGCTACCAGCGGACATCCAGCCATGAAACCAGGAGGAAAACGAGGAGGTCTGAGGGCTCAGGTCTGATCTAACGTAGAATACAAAGCTGGGAAAGTCTTCTGGTTCAAGCTAGTCTTACATTCAATTTTTATTTTACAAATTAAAATTTTTGATCCGTTTGGCCTCACTACATCACAGAAAATGAATGTTACAGGAAAAAAACTACTAGAAAGTTAAAACATTGAATAAATGGCAACCCAACTGTGCAGGAAAAAACAAACAAACAAAAAAACATGGTGCAACAGGAAGGTGACAAATTTGGTGCCGGAAAAAAAAATATATCAAAAAGTGAAAAAAAAAGTAAAGCTATGGATCACATGGGCTGTGATCGGCTCACAGTTTGAGAGCGCGTTCTGCTCCTTATATCAAAGACGACTTTAAGAAAGGAATTCAGACGGATCAAAAAAGTACGCAATTACTCCAAAGCTTTGCATTTACAAGGGATCTTTGAATTTTTCAGACAAAACTTCTGGAGAAAGAATCTACAAAGTCTCAAAGCAGAGAGAGGGAGTTGGACTGTCACCCCATCATGTCCAACAGTCCACCGAGCTGCTGGTGTCCAAATATCGTCTTCATTCTCTTCGTCAAAATGTAGAGACCGCAGGAAATTTCTACAATGGATATTATTTTATCAGAAGTGGCTACAATTCCCTGTGGATCCATCACTGAAGCATTACGCAGCCACTTTGTTATCCTTCTGGAAAAGAGAAACAAAAAAAGGACGATTTAGTAATCAGCTCGAGTTTAACAGAATTATAATTACTAACATTCTAATTTCATTTATCTATATCCGGCAACAGTGGGAGACAAGTCTTGCTTTTCTGACCTAATCTGATCTAACAGCAGACTAATTAGTGGATTTTGACTTTCCAATTTTTCAGCCAAACTCCAGCAGGTTGAAACTTACAACTTTTTTTTCAGCTTTTATTGTCATTTCACTGTCACGAGTACAGAGGAAAGAAATGAACTTTTGAGAGCGCGTTCTGCTCCTTATATCAAAGACAACTTTAAGAAAGGAATTCAGACTGATCTGCATTTAACCCATCCCTTTGGGGAGCGGTGGGCTGCCATTGTGCAGTGCCTGGAGAGCAGTGTGGGGTTATGGGTCTTTACTCAGGAACCAAGAGTGGCAATCTGTGGGAGTGGGGCTCGAACTCAGAACCTCTGGATTCCAAGTGCCACCACCCTAACCACTGCTGCCACTCCCCACCAGGATTTATTTCCACATTTCAATCCAGTCAATGTCATTTCTACATCCGTTTAAAAAAAGTAAAGGAAAAACGGCTGCGAATGCCAAAAACAAACATCCGGTACAAACTTAAGTCTGTTATGTTGTCAAGTTTATAAAACTCCAACATTTTAGAAGTGTGTCCTTTAAAGACACACTTTTTAAACACAATCACGAAGCATGTTTACTAAACCTGAAATACAGGAAACCGAGTTTTCCGTTTCACAAAGAGTTTTCTCAACCTGTTTCAGTCGCCATAGTAACATTCTCCACAGGTTTTGTTAACCTAACTCGGGAGTTTCCTCGGTCTTTGCTCTCCTTATAGCCAATCACGTCGTTTCATTTCCTGATTTAGTCAGATTTTGGTCATAGTATTGCGCATAAAAAAAAAAAATCATTCACTAGGTCCGTTTTCTTCGAGAGATTTGCGATAAATACATTTAAAGCTATTAAAAAACTTTTTCAACCTGCTGGAGCTTTGTTTGAATAAACAATGCAGTGATATGGAGATAGCTGTTAGGTTTACCCTGTAATCAAGGTCAGGGAAATCCCGGCCTCCTCTGCCAACTCTGTATGTGCCCCTGAACCCAGGCGGGGCTCCCCGGGGCGCGAAATAACCTCTGCTCGATGACCGCCCCCGCCCCGTACGGGGTCCACCGTAGCCCCGTCCACGGTAACCTCCTCTTCCACGGTGGTGTCTGAGAGGGATGCCGAACGTCTCTGCGTTCATCCGTCTCTCCTCTGCCCAGGTCGGCCTGCGCTCCCTGACAAAAACAAAATCAGAACATGGTCAACAACTAAAAAATAACAAAAACACAACCGGCAGGGCCTTTTCCACATTTTGCTTTGAATAAATGAAAGCTTGCACATCAAACTGAACATGATAAATGTAATTGAAGCTTAGACTTACCTTTGAAATCCACCATCACCCGTTTTACTTAAAGAGATAAAAACAAAAAGTCTGTCAGCAGAAGTAGACTTCACATTTTTATATGAAGATATTGCTGAGAGCAGTGATGATACTGTTAAATATTTGAGTTTTTAAATCAGGTGACAGCTGCTTGGTTCAATGGATTATCTAAAACCAGAACCAGCATGTCAGCTTGCAAGCTGCAGCTACAGCAGTAAAAGTCGAGAAAGATGAGGAGCCCGAGCGGCTGTCTGGCTCGTCGTACCTCGAATCCCCACAGGACAGGTTATCAAAGAAGGACTTAGTCTTGTCGTAGTAACACGCGTTTATCGCAGCCTCCTCTTCCTCAGCGGTGCCCTCAGTAGCTGGATGTTCTGAGTCAGCAGTCTCTTCTCCGTTCAGCGCCTTTTCAGGTTTGTCATCTGTTTGTGGAAAAAAGTTCAGAAAGAGCTCCTTGAATTTTATTCCCTTCAGTACGTTTATTCTATTTTATCTGTTTATTTTTCAAGGCTGCACTTTAAAAAAAAATTATTGTCCAGAGAGCTGTTTATTTTTGTTTTACACTTGTGTAAACAAAATGACAAATCTGTCTAAGTCTTGTCTCTCTCTCTTTGACAAGCATAGGACATAAAGGCACACCAGAGGGTAACATGTCCTCTTCATTGATGGGTAAAATTGTTACCTTTCAGTTTCAGCTTGTTTTGAAACTCTTTGTCGATCTCATCCTTGTGGAACTGGGCGTTGGCAGTTTCAAAGTCAAAGTCCTCATCGAATTTTACGGTGCCGTCTTTGCGCACGTTAACTCTGCCCCTGCTGCGGTTTCCTCTTCCCCTGCCTCGGCGGTTAGACTGAACACCTGCTATTATCGGGAAAAAACAGAACGGATCAATCTAAGGATGAACGCTGTGTTTGGGCTTTAACTAAATGCTTTTATACTCAATTAAAACCTCAGGTTAGCCATAATTGAAAATAAACTAATTTCTCTTACTGAAAAGAAAAACTTGATGCTTCTTACCAAGTTGACGCCTGTTGGGATCCCGGTTTTCAACAGCATGTTCATGATCCGGCTGGGGAGCTTTCTGAACGTCAGGAGCTGGATAATAAGACATTCGTATGATTATTTCTAATGCTCATTTTCACAGAACAACATATTCTCCTTCCTGAGCGTTATAATCAGACATTCCTATGGGTTTAAACCTGCAGAACACCGTTTAAAGACGATCATAAAAGGCTTCAGGAATCTTTAAACCTTCCCTTAAGGATGTCAAAACAATCCAAATTAAAACATTGTGTTGGAGCTGTTGCTCTAAATTACAGCAACAGCTGTACCAACACTCATATTGTTAAAATAAACTGTTTAAGGGTATACAAATCTTTTTTACATAAAAATTAAGAGGAAGAAATTAAAAAAAAAGGCTTTCTTTATTTTGAAATTAAGCAAACAGAAATAACTTTGATAATTCTACCCGACCCTCAACAGAAAACGGTTAATCTGATTCTGACCTTTTATTAGACATAAATAAATAATTGTTTATGTGTTAAGCTTCACACATTAGTTATTAAAGGCTGACCTTTTTTCTGCTCAAGCAGATCAGGGGGTTTCTGGGTGACGGTGGAAGAGCTGCTGGGTTTGGCCGCCCCTCCTGTCTGACTCCTCTGTCCCACAGCCGCAGGTTGACCAGGGGTGGCAGACGGCGGCGCCTGCACCGGCTCCACGGGGGAGCTTTTCGCCAAAGAGTCTCGCTGTGGACTAGTACGTCCTTCAGATGGGAGGAAAAGTAAACCTCAGTTTAAAACAGCGCTCCTTTCATTCAGAAACTTGATGCTGTTCACCATTTTCTGCACAGCTATGGCATAAACACAAGGGCTGCTTCTAAACAGGTGAATGGAAACAATCTGATTTGATTAAGTTTTTTTACATTTTACAACACATTTCCACTTCTCCATCTTTAGTGTAATCTGTCCTACAAATCGGTTTAAATAGTGATTTCATGATAAAGCCAGAAGCCTTCACTTTTAACCTGCAGTACTCTGTTTAACCACAGATTTAAACAGTGTGGATTGATACATGTCAGAATATGTCGAAATACGATTTCTCTTTGTCCCCACAATTTGTGGTTAACTGTAAGTTTTTAACAAATCGTATGAAAAAAAATATGCCTGCATCATTTTGGTGGTTACAATGGTGAATGTTTTATTAAACTAATGGCCTGGAGGCTGTTTTTATACTAAACTTCTAGCAATACAGACACCTGTTGACACTAATGGCTGTACTTGACTTACAGGAGCGGAAATGAACCCCTGATCTGAATGAGATTAGCTCAGAAGCCCAGATAAGAACAGCTTTGGTTTATTAAGTGATCATAAAGGATAAGACCAGCTGTCATTTTCTTACATATCCAAGACTTGCATTAACCAATTTAAATTAGCTCAGCAATGTAAAGACAGAAACTTGGCCAAATATGAACTGTATTGAATCGACCTACCTCCAGCAGATCCAAACTGCTGCGATCCAATGGGTGCAACTCCGAACTGGCTGTAAGGTGGAACAGGGGCCCTGCTAAATGGGGCATAGGGACCAGCACCCTGGAATGATGGTGCAGCTGCTGCACTGGTCGATCCGATTGATGACTGAAAAAAAAGACAACAGACACCCATACGTTAAAGGTGCAGTAGGAGATCCTTTCTGACGCATTTTTTACCATGTGACTTAAAGATCTCCCCACAGCCGCTTAGCAAGCAGTGAAATAGAAGGTCTGTAAGTGTAACAAAAGTAAATGGTCCCCGCTGCAGTGAGAAATCAATGAGTAATGTCCACCAATCACAAAACACGGTCCGTTGTACACGATTGGTTCAATGACACGTCAGTCATGGTTGTCTGCTTGTAAGGCAGGCGGGGAAAAGCATGCCGTCACCGGGTCGGGTACGGTCCGGGGGGGAATTTCAAAATCCCCGCCTATAGGGGAAAGCTCGGGGCCGCCGGTGTCCAGGCTACCGTCACCAGGTCAGGTTCGTTCGCTCCAGAGCTCAAGGCTCGGTTCTACTGCACTGTAGTCGAGCAAAATCCCGGACGATTTTTTTAGGTATGAAAAGAAGGACATGTCCAGGAAAAAGAGGATGTCTGGTCACCCTATTCACACCTAAAGCAGCAAAAACGCACATGCTTCTTCATTTTTGATGCTTGTACAAGTTTATTTCTGAAGTGCGGCTGAATCATCTTTGCTGCTCTGGCTGGTTGGGCGGAGCTACCATATAATTTCTTTGCCTGTAACAATGGTGGCTACATTTGCTGTGATCAGTGGGTAAAAAGTAGTTTGAATCTATTTTGAATTGAGAAAGTCCACCTGAAAACATCTTCAGTGCAGTCAGTTCATCCAGATTACCTTCCTGCCTTCAAATGTTATTTCTATCGGAGCCGCTCAGACCCCCGTACACCGGTCGTACGTTGTCACTATGAATCCCATTCAACAGCAGCCTCTGGCCGGGTCGCCTCCTCGCGTTTTGCTGCTGTGGAGGCGACCAGCTAGAAGGCGTTTTTCACGTCCTTAATCCAAACTGCAGGCACTAGGACAATAAAAGCGATTATGTTTTGCCGGCAGATTTTGGCATTTTAAGTAAATTTAGGTGTTAAACTCTTTCAGGAGAGTTATAGCACTCTGCATCATCAGTGCTGCCTGTCTCGCTGCAAGCAGCTGCTCCTGTTGCTCTAGACGCGCTGCAGACAGCATGTGCGTTCATGTGTTTTGAAGCCTTGGTTTCGAAGAATTCGAAAGGAGACATAGTTGTGCATCTTCAAAAATACAGCTCGCTAGAACCACTTTTCCAAGATCTCCTTCAGCACCTTTAATAGGAACAGGAAAGAAAACTGAACAGATTGATTATTGCACCTTGTGGCAAATTAAAACCGAGCAACTAATTAACCAATGATCTTTAGCATATTAATAATGTGGAAACATAGCTTAACGGCAGCATTTAACAGTGTTGCAATTGCAAGCTTTGTGCAGTCAATATGCAGCGCTCACAGGAGCCATTCACAGGTATGCAGTACTACATTATTTTTTCCCAAAAAATAATGTAGTACTAACAGGCAAAGCAAACCTGGACGGATGATTAATTATCCACGTCAAATGGTCAATGTTGATGTTTGGGATTTCTGGGTGGGAGCAGCCATTTTTAAGAATAAAACATATTTCAACTTCTTTAAAATAGATGAACTTCCATTTTTATACAGCTTATGGAGATTAGTCTCACTGGAAGCTTTGAGCAGGTGTTGGCACATCAGTTGGCTTTACTTTAATATATGTGGTCTTTATATTCAACCTGACTTTAAAGGTAAATAATTCAGTTAGATTAGCAGAGTGTAGAGATCGACCTGTGTACGGTTATGCTAATTATTAGAAAAAGGGATTAACCAATCCATATTTTTTCCACTTCAAAGTTGTCAGCATATTACTAAGAGAGAGAATAGAAACATCAACAGGCATGAAAACAACTGACCCATGTAATATTAACCAATGTAGGTCCATTTAAATATTAGGTCAGAAACAGTCAAATTAATTGAGGTTTATTGAGCACTGGAATAATAGTCATCTAATTTTGTGTTTTTTGTCGTATTTTAAATGTTTATATCTTTGCTATCGGGCAGGTGAATTTCCCCTATTAATAATGCACCTATCCATCTACTGGAATTCAATAAAAAAAAATACTTTATTGGTTCAAAAGGGAAATTGGATGTTGCAGGAACTCAGGTTTTTTTTTTTTTTTACACCAGCCTATTGAACAGTTCACAAATAAATGGACTTACCTGAACTATGGCAGGGTCCTGAGGCAGGGTGCTGGTGGCTTTGGGTGGCTCACAAACTGTTAGATCTTTTATATCACTTCCTCTGAAAATGATGTACTCAAACACCTCATCCCGAGGTGGTATAGGCCTGTCTGTGGGACGGTCTTCAGTGCCAAAGGAACGAACTGATTGTCAGAAAAAGAGAAGAAAAAAAGATTACTCCTACTTATTCTGTGGTTCCATTTCAATCAAAATTAATAAAAAAATAGTTTATTGATCTCAAAAGGAAGTTTAATCCTTTACATTTAAAAGCACATTCTAATTTGCTAGGGTTTAGTTTAAAAGTTTTAAGAATATCAACTGATAAAAAGAAAGTATTGTTTTCCAACCCCATGGAAATACTAATAAATGAATCAATCAAAATAGATGTTTATTTTGAGTAAAAATGTAATTTGGACTACATCATACATTCTTACCTTAAACAAAATAATGTTTTTAGCTTAGTTTTTTTCCTCTATGTTTTTTTTTTTTTAGATTCTCAGTGCATTTAAGAAATGTCGGTCCTTCTTACTCATCTTAACTCAACATTCTTGCAACTTACATGGCTTGAGTATGTATGTTCAAAATAATGTGATGTTTTACTGGAAAAATACAGCCGGTATCAGCTGTAGTACTGACACGTCAATATACGCCGCTTTTGTTAACATTTAATTAAACCACTGGTTGTTTCTGGGTTTTTTTGTTTTTGTTTTTTTACAGTGGATATCCAACACAAACCATTTGGTCCTTTAGTTTGAAATTTTCACACATTTGAATGTAAACTGAGACATAACTTAAAACAGTGCAGCTGTTTAGATAGCAACTAAAAAATCATTTAAATCTCATGCAATGTAAGTGTGGTTTCCAGTATACATCCCATCAACTTAAACTTTCAGAAAAAAAGAAGAAAAAAAAAAAAAGAAAAAAAGAAAGAACATGGCTTTAAAATCTGTAACTTCACAACCAAAATGGACTCTTTGGACCTTTACAAATGGCTGTTAACGACTGGCTTAAAAAACAAGAAAAAATGAAGTTTTTAAATTTAGAGCAACAAAAAGTTTAAAGCATTTTTTTCTTCATTGGTTGGTTGCATTATATGTCTACAACAAAATTAAAAAGTGCCACTGATAATTTTTATAATTTAGTTTATGTTTTTTTTTTTTATGTGGTTTAACTCAAATATTTGAGGGCCGGTTTCCTGTAATAATTTCTCTCCATTTTCAAACAACTGCCTCCAATTTGTGCTCATTAGCGGAGCTCTGCATAGTGAGCTAATTTGCCCTTTGATTCAGGTGTTTATGGACGGGACACATCTAAAAGTTGCATTGTTATAGATCAGGGGTGTCAAAGTAGTTCCAGAAAGGGCCGTGTGGCTGCAGGTTTTCTTTCCAGACAAGAAATAACACACCAGACTCTTGTCATCTCATTAATTGAGTCAAATCTTAACATAATGAGATGAATGGAGTCTGGTGTGCTATTGCTTGGTTGGAAAGAAAAACTGAAGCCACACGGCCCTTTCTGCAACCACTTTGACACCAGATCAACCTGTTGCCATCCTCCTTCTGAAAAGCTTTTATATTGTTGTATTGTTTTGAACCTAAAATTAGAAACCAATGGATATTTAACAAAAAATATATATTTTTTCTATATTCGTTACTTCGCCAAGATTTTGAGTGGTCTTTTAGATTTTTAGTTGTTTATTTTGTCATTTTGTATACACGAGTGTATACAAAAAGAAATTTCGTTTAAAACAGCTCTACACAATTTCATTTTTTAAAGTGCAGTCTTTTGATTCTTAAAGATAATGTAATATTTGCCATATTAATGGCCCAAAAATTGCTCCTTGGATGAAAAGCGTTGCAGACCCCCCAATCCTGATCTAGAATATTCGTTCTGTTATAGGAAAAAAAAAATAAAAATACAACACAACCACGCCAATTTATACACGGTACAATCAATTAGTAATCGGGGTTGAAATTTCCAACAACGAATGTGGTAATAATTAAGTGTTTTCATGTAATATCGATTGAAACATTGGAGAATATTACAATGCAACATCACTATCCTGCCTATGCTATCAGCTAACGGTAGTACAAACATTATATAATTGAAGCTGGGGAAAAGTTTTAAAAGCATCGACATGCTCAAGTCTTATTCTACTACTCTGTCAATGGTAGATTGAAACAGAGGCCGAATTCAGCGTAAACAAAAGAGCATCACTGCAGTTTAGCCGCTAGACGGCTAACGCTACGTTAGCTAACTCTGCTAACAGCGTTAGTGACACACTGACAAAACTAAATCCACAAAATGCAGAAGTAAAACTATTTCAGTGATATCCATTTTTGATGCGTCTCCTTACCTTTAGCGAGAGCGACTGTCGAGTTTTCAGTGTCGATGGTGTATAAAACTCCTTCATAGCGGATTTCGGCCTTAGAGATTAGGCTAATTTTGCTGCCAATATACGGTGTCCCTCCTCCGCTCATATTTTACACTCTAAGTTCAATAATTCACTAACTTCCAAATAAAACGTTTATAGTACAAATAAAGTCAAATGATGAGATTTCTTAAGCCGGGTTCTAAGTCTGCATAACACAAATAAATGAGCCTTTCTCCCTGAACACAGTCGTCCGTTCCGCGACTCCTAACACGACATGGCCGACTTCATTTTCTTCTGCAGCCGCTGAGGATTGTGGGAAAAAGATTGTACACTTAAAAAAAACGAACACAACAAAATAGGTACTCTTTCAATTTTCTATTCAACGAAGTATTCATATAAACTGCAACTGAATACTAAATATTATGTTGACAATTTTAAATCTATGGATATAATCGATTAATTTATTCTCTGAAGAAAAGAATTCGTCAATGTTATTCAAGCTGATTGTTATCTCGCGATATTACACGTCAATAGAATCCGTTGTTTTAGCGCAGTGGAACATAATTACAATGAAATAAACTAAAATAATAATTCAAATGCATCTCAATAATATAAATATATAATATGTATATATAGATTTAAACACAAATACTTGCTCTTGTATGAATAAAATGTACTATAAAATGTGAATTAAGAGTAAAAATGTACTTATGCAGTCTGTTTTTCTTAATGGTAAGCCTGGAATGCCACGACAGGATGCGTGTGAATATAAACATATAAAAAAGAGAAATTATTAATTCTGTAGATTGCTAAAATTTGTTTGTTACAGCGAATGTACATTACAATTAAATTTGACCTCTGTGTTTAACCCATCCTTCTGGGTGCATTGCAATCTGGGGCTAAAGGGACCTCAGGGACCCAGAGTGGTAGACTGCAGGGTTAACTCTGCAGCCTTCTCAGATGTGCTCTGCTCAGGGGCGTAGCTAGATGGGGGGCCAGAGGTGGCCATGGCCACCCTTAGCCACTCATTGGCCACCCCTGTGGCCACCCCTTTCATTTTTTCCCTCTAATACAGACTGTGGCAGCAGTAATACTCTAAAGGCGAATGTTCAAACTTATTAAACATTTACATTTTTCATATATTACCAACTTCTTGACAACAGAAACACTGTGGTTAATTATGCACATCAATATACAAACATTAAAGATGATTGATACAGAATTCACGCTATTTTCAAAACAAAATTTTGAATTATTTGGGTTAACAATAAAATAATGTACCTCTGCAAGTCATCTAGGAGTCTTCAGTGAAATCATAGATAAATAACTAATTTGATAATAAGTTAAAATTCCATTAAATGTGGATATTAGTAGATTTAAATATCTTTTTTTGCAGAATGATTATTGATTAAAGTAGGTAATGACAATGTAAAATATCTTCACCCCAGAACTCAAACCTGAAAGAATTTTGTCCACTATACCTTTCATTTACACAGGATAGATGTTTAAATATATCCATTTGTTAGCAAAGGCTGCAGGAAAGTATAGTTTTTCTTTATTTAGAAAATATGGATGTTGTGCTCAATCCTTTTGGAACAGTGTAGATTGACCCTGAGGTTCTGGTGCCTTTCAGTAACCCCTCAATGTACATTGATTATTGACTGGCCACCCCTATTAGGATTTTCTGGCTACGCCTCTGGTTCTGCTCTAACCACACAGCCACTACTCTACAGAATAAATAAAATGAATTATACAAAAATAATACCAAGCATCCTAAATATCTGTTTTGAAACAAAACAGTGATATCTACTGTTTGAAGTAAGACAAAGCAAAAGTCATATGCCTGAATTCAAAGGTATTTTTAAACATTTAAGACTTCAGAAATACACAAAGGTAAACCAGAACCTCTACTAAGATGTGAACTGAATAACATGTGGCAAACATCACAATGAGTCAGGGTACCAATGGCATCAATGGCATCCTAAATAAAGGTATCCAATCTGTATGTACAGTGGCAGCCCTCTGCTCCCCAAGGGGATGGGTTAAATACAAATGTGTGAGCTGGAAAAAATAAAATCTGAATAGTTAGACAAAAAAAAATTTTTACGCTTAGCAGAGGATGATTAGCAACATATAATTTATTAAGTAGCGAGGGCAGGAAGAGCAACACTGCTGGGAGCGAACCATCAGTGCAGACTCTGAGCTCAGCAGCGCAAAGACACATTTCTGCACAAGCACAGCTGGAGGAGCAGAGTACCAATTATTCAATTATTGTACTATTATTAGATCTTGGGTTAACTTTGTAATGCATGAGAACATATCTTAACAGTACAATAAACAATCAAACACAAGACCGAAAGGATTTAAAGTTATTAGAAATTTTATACAAGGCTACATAAAATAGCAGTTTGGATGTAAAATAAAGTGACTTTTTAAAACTATTTAACAAACGCCATCAAATACAGTTTATACAATTATTGACACATATTTAATGTAGTTTATGACATTTACCTAAATATAATTTTGGAAAAAGGAAATGTCCAGGGATCCTGGAGGGTTAAATAGATCTCCCCCTCATCTGATGACGTCAGGCCCGTTCCCACAATGCCTAGTAACACGCAGGCGCCGTGCGCCAGCTATAAAGCTGCTATCTGATGCGCAGGGATGGCGGGCGCCTCCGACCCCCTGGAAGATATGCTGTTTTCAGAGGTGGATGAGAAGGCTGTTAGCGACCTGGTGGGCTCGCTGGAGTCTCAGCTGACCGGGCAGAGCAACTCAGCGGGGAAAACAGACGAAAACGGAGGCGCTGGCTCTGTGGCCCCTGCTAACCATCACTTAGGAAAAACGCTCCCAGCTCCAGTGAGTACCACAACACCAGAACAACAACAACAGCATCCAGGACGGCGGAATAAAGCTGAGATGCGGCAGGAGGTGAACTCTAAGGACGCCAGCGTGGATAAAACTGTCACCTCTCCGTCTCTGGGCTGCTCCTCTTCTCTTGGCGAACCTCCCACCGCTCCTGCTGGCTGTGTGAGCGCCACCAGCAGCAGCAGCGGCGGTCAATCACATGGAGCATCCATCACCTCACTGACCGCATCTGGCGCGTCAACCTCGGCTTCCCCGCAGGATAGCATCAGCCGGAGCTCCAAGGTTAGCCCGGGCACAGATGAGACCAGCGCTCTGAGAAAACGCGTCGCGACGCCGAGAAGGACCCCCTCTGCTCGGATCAAGAGTTTGAATGGCGCAGCGGTAACGACCAGGAGGAGCAGCGGCAGCCTGACCGACAGCATCACCGGCGCTACTCGATCAACCACCTCCTCCATCAACACTTCCACCTTCACCCTGTCCAACGCGAACCTCCCGGTGGGTCAGTCAGCCATCGCTCTGGACCGGGGGACTCCCACCATCGCCCTGCGCAGACTCCCCAGTCACATCGTAGCCAGCATAGCCCAGAACGGCACCAGCGTTTCGGCTCTGGTCCAGCAGGGCGCACGGATGGAAGCCGCCTCCTCATCATCTCCCACGGAGGACCCGAGCAAAGCCACGGACACCGGTGCTTCCAAAGCAGAGGAGCGTCAGCCTGGCTTTGCTGGTGGCGTGAGCTCCGTAATAAACACTGTATCACCGCCAGCTTCCTGCGCTATAACACCAGCAACAAGCACCGCATCATCAGCTCCCAGCACCACGGTGAGCCAGCCTGTGAGCTCTGCTGCTGCTGCTGTGTGTGTCACAGCCACATGTGTCCACACCACATCTGTGACCACCACAGTCTGCATGGTCAGGCCCGCAGCTCCCTCTCCAACACCCACGGTGGCCCCCTCTGCCCAGTCTCAACCCCGGCCAGGGGTGGCAACTCCTCAGCGGATAGTGGCCCCCCAGCTGATTGTCAGACCTTCACAACAGCAGACCACCATTCAGCTCCCCCCTGGCTTCACCATCCCACCTGGTAAGGTTTATTTCCTTTATAGGGCTGGAAAACAATGTGCTTTCTCCTTGTTTAGCAGCATGATGTCTGTTATAGGGCAGTAGTATGATTTAATCTGTTATAAATGGCATATAAAGGGCCAGAGCTAGACTATTGGTGTGTGTGTTTAAAGGGGGTGTGTCTACATATACGACACCTTAAATCTCTATTATTTATTTTTGTATTTTGTTTTTACCTTACTTTATAACACTTAATTTAATTCGGTTTATTTATATAGCACCAATTCACAACACATATAATCTCAAGGCACTTTACAGTTCACCAGATCATCCAGTTTTCTATCTAAGGAAAACCACTTGATTGCATCGACTCATTGACCATAATGCAATCCTTCACACCAAGCATGCTTGAAGCCACAATGGAGAGGAAAAACTCCCTTTTAACAGGAAGAAACCTCCAGCAGAACCAGGCTCAGTGTGAGCGGCCATCTGCTGAGGCCCACTGGGGTTCAAGGAGACTACTTTTTTACTACTTTAATGCACCTTTTCCTTCTTTTGCACACCCTGTTGTTTATTAGAGCTGATGTCATGAGTTCATTTCTCTGTTGTGAGATCAATAATGTCTTATCTTATAAACAAAACCAACAAACAAAAGCATTCTGAGTCTAACTTTGCTGTGTACTATTGAAGAGGTTTGGCCAAAGAGAACAAAAAAGTAAAAATAAGGAAGGCCATTGATTTTAGACTTTAATCTCAGAATTATTGAGATTCTAAGAATTATTACCACTCCTCTGCCCATCTCAAACATTTCATAACAACATTGAACTTATTGTTTTCTCCAAGGATAAGCTCCATCTCTGGCTAACAATCCGGTCAGAGGAACTGCAGCTAGCAGAGTTAACAGGGTAAATCCCAAACTCCAGAATAAACATTGATGACCTCCATCTGATCAGAGCCCTCAGGACAAGTGAATGCGGTGAGAGGAGAGAGGAGTGTGGCTGTTTTTATTGATAACTGCTGATGTAGCTCAGAACACGTTACGGTTACAGAGAGATTTTGCACAAAGTAGATTGAGCTGCTACCTGTTTTACCGCGGCCGACAGCTTATTGCCATCAATAACAAAACTGTTCTGTAGCTCATCTCCCGACGGGGCAGGTGGTTGATATGGAGTTTGGATCTGGCTTGAAGTGCAGACAATAAAACATTTTTAAAACTGAGAAGTTTTATTTTTTTTATTTGCAAACTTTTTTTTAAACAATTAATAATAATAGTAATACATTTTAAAATTATTAGTATTTGTAATGCTGTCAATACCAGGAGGGTGGGTGTTAGCTAGTTATGCTGCAGTATTTTCCTGCTCTGGAAAAAAAACAACCAAAAACTAGGGATGCACAATATTGGGATTTTGACCGATTTCCGATATGCCGACATTTTAAAACT